ATGTTTCCTGTTACCTGTTTAATTATTTGTATTATTATTATTATTCACATATCCATGTTATACACATCATTTCTTTTACCACTTCCTCTTACCCTCACAGAGTGCTCGCTGATACTGGAGTACTCTAGCAGTTATGAGTAGGGAAGACTTCATTTTGCCCAGAATTTGAAGAAAGCTCACAAGTCTCCATGATCTTCTCTGGGTCTCTGCCACAGTCACTGTTGTCTGGACTTTATCTGTGTTTAATTTAGGGGTTCCTGAGCCTGCAGCCCTCATCGAAAAACATCATCATGGTCTTTTAGGCGTTGCTCCCATCCATTACTTCCTCTTGTTCTCATCCTTGTGGTACCCACAGCTCTATCCTCTTCCTGCCCCATTTCCAGCTCTGCCTTCACCATGCTTCTGATATCTGACAGTTGATTTGTTCTAATTCTGAACCTGAACAGTGAGGAAGATGATTTATTTTTATAGGAAACTATTGATGCTCAGAGACATTAAGTAATTTTCCAAGATCACACAGAACTTAGAGTAAGAAGAGGATGACTGAACCTCATCATCACCTTTGCCTTATACCAATTTAATTTTTTTATCATTTATTGCATGGTAGACTAAACTTAACTTTTATGTGCCTCAGTTTCTTTTATCCTCTGAAATGAGTTTCCTTTGTCAAAGTAAGTTAGATATGTAAATTGCTTTGAACTCCTAAAGAGGTGTAGGAGTGATAATTAGATGCCATAGTTTCATAGATGTTTTTAAATGGAGTTGAAAGGTTCATGGAATAAGATTCTTTCCATATTTTCATTAATATGGATTTTTAATACCCTTTGGAAATTAACCTGAAAAGTGTCTTTCCTTCTTTTATAATTTGAAAGGGAACTTTGTTCTCATTGACTGAAAAAAAATTTTTTTAATTTTTTTTGGTTTCTGGGCCACACCCAGCCATGCTCAGGGCTTACTCCAGGCTCTGTGCTGAGGGATCACTCCTGGTAGGATAGTATATGGTGCTGGAAATTGGACTTGGGTGGGCAGTCTGCTAGGCAAGCTTGTTGTGACTCCCAAACAAAACAAAATTAAAAAAAAGTTATGAAGCCCAAACTGATCAGTCATTAATAGACCGCTGCTGTCAGTGGACATACCTGTCTCTGTAGACCTGCACAGTCAGGCCTCACAGCTGAAAAATATCTCACCTTGCGGGGAATATCTCTGAATCTCTGAGATCTATTCCAGTGCATCAGGAATCATGTACTCAAATGGAAACTAGTTCTTCTCACACACTCTGACTTTTGAAATAACCAAAACTGCATTCTCTGCTCCAGATGAGGGACAAATTACTTTTCCTGGATTCTGCAGCATTTAAAAACATCTAAATATAAGGGAATTTTAAATTCATTTCTAAAAACTGAGTTCACTTATACTTATCTTTTTAAAATTGTAGTTGAGGTAATAAGATTCCAGTGAAGTTTAAGTTTGGTATGGATGTATAAATTTCCTGTGCAGTATACTGCCCACAATGTGCTCCCACCCTCTTGCGTATCCCTGAGTCCCCCGCCCCAACTGACAGTTGTAGTTTGGACTGCATACTATTATCTCATTTAGCCAGCATGTGGCATGCCTGGCATACCCAGCATTGCCTAATGTTCCTTCTAGTCCATCGCATCAGAATATCCTTTCCTCAATCTAGGATCCTCAGGTCTGTAAACCCCGAGCCTCAGGGTTATTATCAGCTGACATTGCTTGTGCACTTGATTTGTTTCTTTAGCTACTATAGGTGGGTAAGATTATTGGTATTTGTTCTTCTACCTCTACCTTATTTCATTCAAAATGATACCCTCAGGACTCATTTAAGTTGCCATAAAGTGGATCATTTTATAATATGCTTTTTATTTTATGATCCTTGGTGATTTTTTGAGAAGAGGACAATGGTAGTTTTTTTATTTTTTAAATTTTATTTGTTTGGTGTGTGTGTGTCTCCAAAGATCAAACAGGGCCTCACACAGACCATGATATTGGCCAGTGCAAAGAGGGCATTTCTTACCTAGCTGATTCTTGCAGGGTTGTTTAAAATGGCATGTTTGATCCTGTATAAACCATCCAGTTTTCTGCAGTATCACATTTGCATTTCAGATTTTGAAACCATCTATTTATTGGACTATTCTCAGAACTGTTAAATCTGTTCATTTTGTCCACAGTCTTATAAGTAAATACGTACTTTTTCCGTGTTGGGAGAACATGTATTTCACCCATTTGCCATCAAGAGTTTCTAGAAAAGGCACAGAATTCTCATCATGCACTGTATTCCTCGGAAGGGCAGCGTTCTGTGGCTCTGCATGGTAATGAACTGTGTATTGAATAGTCTACTTCAATGCTTCTCCCTTAATCATCGCTCACTACAAAGTTCTACCAACTCAAACCAGTTATTTAGTAGCATGCATTATACACTGCATCAGAATATCAACATATTTAGGATCATAGATGGAAAGAAATGTTGAGTTCTCTACTTTGAGCATAAAATAAAAGAAAGATCTAAAAAAATGAAGCATTTCTTGAGATGGCATATCTGAGTGCGAGAGCTCTGGGGCTAAGTCGAGTTGCCTGGCCCCTCTCCTGCCTGCTTTCCCTCAAGGTTTACACTGCACTGCCTGTCCCAGGCATTCGCTTATAACAAATAGGTAAGCTAACTTTAGTTGAATTAGGGACAGCTACAAATGACTTGGTAGAAAAAGTGAAAGCATAGGTGATTTATTATTATAGAACTTAAGAATTTTTGAAATTCTAAAAACAATGCAAATTAGTGACTTTCTTCAGTTAATGACAGTGTTTGTTGAAGGTAAAGGTAAAGGTAAAGGCCCACCCGTTGATCGTCGATTTGCTCGAGCGGGCCCAGTAACGTCTCCATTGGAGACTTTGTTGTTACTGTGTTTGGCATATCGAATACTCTCGGTAGCTTGAGAAAAAAGAAAAAGGATACCCAGAAAAGTGAAAGAGTGGGAAAAGCATATTTCTACCACAGGCCAATGCATTGTTTTTATTCTGGGAGATAATACTTCACTTGGGAAGGTGCTGGTGATGTCTTCTGATAAGGCAGTGGGGAAAGCAAGCGGCTGGCAGAGTAAAAGAGAAAAGAATCCACAGGTAGATAGTGTTAGAACACTATGTGGTGATTCTAATTATCACTATGAAATTCAGTTTTTCTTGGTCCTGATGGAATACTTAAGCAAAAGCTGCATTTAGAGAATTCTGGGAGCCTTGGAATTTGGCAAATATGTGCTTTTCCTTCTGAGTGGCAGAAATTGTGGCAATAAACACCGCTGTCTCATCTCTCACTTTTAAAGAAGCGCATCTGTCCTCCTTAAAGGGAAGGAGTCAGCCAAACCAAGGGCAGCAGGAGACAACTTCTCACAATGTTATATTGGGTTTCTTCTGAAAAAAAAATACAAGGATAAATGGAGATATTAGTGATATTGAAGTGTAGCTTTAAAAACATGCTAAGTTATTAGATTCTTGCTACCTTCTCTGTGGGAAAAAAGTTCAGGATTAACCTTGAAAGTTTTAAAAATGTATAAAAATTATTTCTTTTTTTTTCCAGAAATTAGTTTAATTGTAACCAATGTGATACATGAATATATATATATATATATATATATATAACAAAAAAGGTACGCAGTAAAAAGCAATAAATCCCTACCCACCCTCCCCAATTCAAAGTTCGCCAGCCAGGTGGCAAATTCTTTTATCCATGTCTGTTTAGTGATAACTCCATATTTTAAGATCTGCTTTTGTTGGCTTCACCTAACTAAATGACAAGAGAGATTTTGTTCAGGCTCCCTTATGTCCTTCCCCCACCCTTCATACATTGTATCACTACTTTTACCTCTTCTCTTTGTCTCTCTAGTTTACTATACACACATAAACCCTACATCTGTCTTGCTTTTTCCACTAGAGACTGTATCTGGACTTCCTAGTTAATGAGACTAACACTACCACTCCATTTCTTCCCCTCTTTCTGCCACCTTAGTGACTGTACTTGCACATAGCCAAAGATTAATAACATTCCCATTCTATTTGGAACCATGATTACACCACTCTTGCTTTCCCTAGATACTGGTTGACTCTACAACCAGAAAGCCAGAATTAAGATCACCTTTGTAAGGATCAAACACTGTTCACAGAATAGCAAAGTTGAATACTGTAACTGGATTTTCTCATCTGACTGCAGACTTGAACCACATTCCAATAAGTGTTCAAGCAAATTCTCTTTCCTGGCAATTGTTCAGAACCAGGTCACATCTGAGGTTGCTTCATACTTGAAGTCTGACTGCACAGTTTGTTGTTTTTCCTGGTCGTTTCTATTTGCCATTGTTTTTTTTTTCTCTAAGGGATCGACAAGTTATGCCTTCCAGATCATGATCATTAATCTACAGCGGGAACTCTGTTTAGCTATATTTTCTGGAATCATCACATTCAACTGGAAATCTCTTTAAGTCTTTTTCTAATCTGGGAGATTTTCCTCCCATTTAGACCTAGTTCATTTTACTTCAGTTGTTAATTCACACACACACACTATTGTTTTCTTTTAGGGCATTCTGGACCCATAGTCATATCCTCTGTGCAAGGTTTTGTTGGTTTTAATGGATGCAAAAACTTTTCAAGGATTTGAAGATTTCAGATTTTGGCGCGCTCCCAAGCAGAGCTCAAAGAAGCCCTGAAACAACTTCCAGCTATATTCAGTCAATCAGGCCAAGTGGAGAGTTGCAGATGTTTAGATTTTTTTTCCTGTCCCTTGCGTGATCCATTTCCCTGGAAACTTTTTGTTTCTGTCTTTCAGCAAATGATTTTGAGCCGTTTATCTGTTTCTATTCAAAGATGAGTCCATGGAAAAACGGATGGCCAAGTCCATGAACGCGAACGACTGATCATTTTGTTCTAGGGTCGGGGGCTGGGGCCGGTGGAGGTCAGCCATCCTGCCCTGAAGCCCCCAAATCCCCCCAAAGTTACTTCCTTTAAACATGTACCTGCAGGCGGACGTTGAACACTACGGAGGTCATGACGTAGAAGTAGGGAAAGTTGGCGCGTAGTTGCCAGGCCAGGTTGAACAAGGTGAGCAGCGTGCGAGTGAGCCCCTTGCAGAAGGCGCGGTAGGAACTGCGGGCGGCAGCCAAGCCGGTGAGCTGCACCGCCTGGCGCGACAGAGCCGCCGCCGCCGCCACCAGCGATCTGGTGTCACCTCCCATCGGTTCACCGAACCCAGGGCCTCCGGAGAGATGGACTGCAGGAGAAGACGTGCGGGAGGCTGACCTAGAGGCCACCGATGCGAACCGCGCCGCACCACCAGCATTTCCTTCCTGGCAGCGCGCCAGCACGGCGAATCTCTCATAAAAATTATTTCTAAATCAACTCTTGACAACTTCATAGGCAAATATATGTACAAACCCATAATGGGTTGACTCTAGTTTTATAATAGGTCCCTTATTGCAGCCAGGTTTTCTGTCTTTTCACTATTTTAAGTTCTTGTCCAGGTGAAGAATTAAATGATATTGAATTAAGTTTTACTCTAGCATTAATTATAATTATTATTCTCATTGAATATATTCACATATATATATAGCAAATATGGTCAGTGAAGTCGTGAAAATAAAGTAAAATCATAAAATCTATTAAATATCATTGACAAAATAGATAATGCATTGCTGTTATCACAGGTCTATTGGATAGCTTTTTTTCTCCCAATACAGTTCACAGACATGCATGTAGCTAATTGTTACTTCAGTAATAGTGATGCCAAATGAGAAGTTCAATTTACTTTTTCATGTTTTGTTTTTGATGTAAGAGCATGCTCCTAAGAAAGGTCCTTATGTACATTGTTACATCATTTTGTCTTGGGTAATACATTTTGTTTATGTTGTTCAAATGCATGCTTCCCTTTTAGAAAAAAATTAAAAGACAAAATTCAGTGTACATACCAAGAAGAGCCCTTCCTTCCACCTCACTCAGAATTGTCTTCACTCAGGACTAATAAAACCTAAAGCAAAACAGGACTAGCACCCTCAGGGATACAAAGCCCATTAAAAGGAAGTCAGTATTCTGCATTTACTTGCTCTATGCAAAACAACATGAGTGAAAAGAACATTGGAGCTGTTTTCCCAGTATTATAGAAGTTCTTGAAATTGAGGAACTATTTTAAAATCTCTGTGCATGTCAAGCAATATCTTATAATAGGAATATCCAATGTTATGGGTGTTATACAATATCTTGTATCATAGGAATTGGTTTTGACCTTTGCAAAATATTGTTCTCTGGCCCTAATGAATAATTATTTGCTTAATTTGCTTTCTCAGTCAAGACTTCTGAAGACACTATTACACAATATTAGGAATAATAGAATCACTATCTCTGCTTAAGTGTGAAAAATGTTATTTTGGAGATTATAAAAATTACATCTGCCATTTCAGTCATCTATTTGTGAGGGAACTTTATGACCTTTCTAATATTGAAAAAGAACAAGTGTCAGTCTAAAACAAAACTTATAAAGTACTCCTAAAAATTGTCATGCTTCATTAGAAGCTATTCAGCGAGAAAATTAAGGACAACTATGAAGCCATTAATTGGACTTTAAAAGTTGCAAGCTAGTTTTAATTAAAACTGGCGGTAATTATTTAGCACACATCTGTGCCTTCTCTGAAGTCCTGACAGATTGTGCATCGGTATGAATCTGGCCACGCTCTTAAAATTTGCAGCAATGATGAGCGAGGTGTCCTTTGTGCCTGAGTCAGCCTAGAAACAAACTTGCTGGAGGGAAACGTTTGAGCTACGCAACGCTTATAGGCATTGTCAAATCGTAGAGGCTACCGTATATGAGACAGTTTTTCAGTTTCAGCAGTTGAATTAAGATGACTGAACAGAACAGAATTCATTCTTCAAATCTTATGAAAGTATAACATGTTAGGAGGAAAGGAGCATGTTATTGGTCCTTATAGAATGATTTATATATAATTATTTATTATTTTAACATAGACTCATAGCACATTTCCCTTGGAAAGTCCTTTGGCTCTACATTAGTAATGCTTTTTAAAATTGATTGAATGCCATTATTATGAATTACAGCGTCTTTGTTCTCATATCCATGGATCGCATTATGTCAAAAAGGATTTAAGTGCTATTTAAAAAAAAAAAAACCCAAATCCTTGAATCCCCTGAGTCCTCAGGTAGGGTGTACAGATCACATTGTCATTATTTAAAAAGAAAATAAAGGGGAGAGGAGCTTGCTAAGAGTGGATTAACTTAGCCTGCCCTGAGACCCGGATTTGTCCTGGTGGGAGCGGCTAGTGGCCAGCTCCAGGGCTGTGATTTGTAGTAGCCGCCCTGTCAGCCATCGATGCAGTCTGCAGCCTATTCAGCAGAGAGGCTTTGCTTTTTCGGGAGAAATTCCACAGCTCCCCAGGAAATTCCTCCTATCTCATCTTCCTAAGCGTTTCAGGCCTGTTATCCCTGGTGACCAAACAGCTCTAAGTGTGTCACTGCTTTGTGGGTCTATGTAGGCTGGCAGAACCCTGCCAGACCAGCAGAGTGCGGCTCAGCCTCTATTTGGGATGGGCCTGCAGCGTGACTCAAAGTCATCAGCAGTGACGAAGGGTAGTTTAGCAAAGACGACTGAGAGACTGAGTCCCTGAAAGACAGAACGTTCGTACTATCTGTTGCGGAAGATAAATTTAACTGCAGGAGACTTTTATCTATTGCTCACACTCTTAACAGTCATAGTTTGTATTTTATGTTTGTTTTTCTGGAAGTGCCCCACATAGTACTGGGGTGCTCTCCTATTAAAAGCCATGGTTATTTTTTTTTAATAAAACATAATTAATGTTGGGCAGGCCTGAGGTGGAATAACTCACCCTCAAAAAAAAAAGAGGAAGAAACTGACTTTGCTAACTAGAGAACTGTGAGCAATTAGCAGCTGATAAAAGAGATTTGACTTGAAAATAGAGGCTGCAATCAGTACAGGGTTCAGAATCTTTGACCCAGGAACAAGAATAAATCCAAAAAACAGGTTAGAGAATGGGAGAAAGAGCAGCCTGGAGTTTGTTTCTCTACAAAGAAACCCTCTCAGGGATGAGGAACCAGACCCAGCCTCCTCTCATATGTTTACCACTGTGACTGTCCACTGTCACTGTCTTCCCATTGTTCATCGATTTTCTCGAGCGGGCCCAGTAACGTCTCCATTGTGAGACTTCGTTGTTACTGTGTTTGGCATATCGAGTGCGTCAGGGGTAGCTTGCCAAGCTCTGCCGTGCGGGCGAGATACTCTCGGTAGCTTGCTGGGCTCTCCCAGAGGGGCGGAGGAATCGAACTCGGGTCGGCCGTGTTGGCTGTGTGCAAGGCAAACGCCCTGCCCGCTGTGCTATCGCTCCAGCCCCTCATATGTTTACTGACAGAAAAGTAATGGACAGTCCCTGTTGTAAATAAACAAAAACAAGTCTTTCTCCAGTCAGGATCTATATGGCCTTTCTAGATGACTTATCGCAAATGCACCTAAAATATGTGTACCATAAAGTTCAGCTGCCTTGAGAATAATAGCCTGTATAATAGAATGTACATCTTTGAAGTGCCCTGGATGCATGAGCCTTTGTGAAGAATTTTCACATACTTTCCAGACCGTTGATTAATTAGAAATCAAATATGTCTTGTGGTAGGTGGGGAGGAAAGACACTATTAAGAGTGATATGGAGGAAGTAAGGAGGGAGGGGGCAGTTAAGCAAGACCCCAAGCTGATCTATTATTAAGGGCTGCTATCTGGCTGGGGTCACTTTAAGAGTCTTATTTGCATAAGGCACTTACAACCAGAGTAGTGAGTGCCACAAATTCTCTCTTACAAAAGGTGTAGCCAATGAGATAGCAAGGGGTGGGCACTGCAACTCTCTTAGCTGAAGTCATGCCTCCATGGAGCTGCCCAGATGCTGAGGTTAATGGCGGCTGGACTCCTGTTTGCTGCCGCAGAGCGCCCACCTTAGCCTTGCCCCATCCGCCTGCCTGGATGAGCTGTATTGAGTTGTAATACTGAGGCCATCTGGGAGGTGGCAAGCTCCTCTTCATGCAGTCCCCAAGAACCCCAAGTCAGTCGGATCCACTACAAAATTAGGAAACTATGCCAGAGGCACTCATACTTGCCCAGAAAGAAATGCTAATTTTCTGCATGGTGTTGCTTGTCCCTTCTAAGTCGTTGGTGAAGTTTACTATTGGGTATCTAAACTCTGACTCTCTTTTAATCTTTAATATTAAAATGTCTTAGGAAAAGAGAGGCTGAACTGGCCCTGAGAGAGGACCACCTCCTGCTCCCTAAAAGAATCAGATCAAATTTGATTCAGGAGAAAAATATCCTCGATAGAGCCCTTCAGATTCCAAAAATGTCATTAGAATTATATTTTGACTTAAATCATACATCACCAGTAATAGAGGAAAATGGCAAAATCAATAAACGTTCCTATGAGAAAAGTATTTATTTTTACTTTTAAAAGTTAAAATTGCTTTTATATATTGAGTATAAAATGAGTATTAGATGTTTAAAGGAAAAGGAAATAAGAAGACATTACCAAAATTGACCAAAAATGATTTGGAAAACAAATGTGAATTTTCAAATGAAATGAATCGATAGAGTGTGGAAGTGCTGTTCCTGAAGCAGAAAAGGCGATAAATAATAATGATTAGTTGAATTATTTGAATTTAAAAGGAAAATTAATATTTATTTGAAAAAATCATGGCTGGAAATTTCCCAAAGTTCATACTGATCCCCCAGATCAGAGGTGTTGGACATATTCAAGTGGCACAGAGCTGAGAGAGTCTTAACACTAACACACTGCAGTGAAACTGCAGAATGTGCCTTGAGGAGATCTTGAAAACACCAAGAAACACAAAGCACTCACAGAACAGTGACAGATTAAACTCTTCAGTAACAACATAGGAGAGAGAAGACATAGATAAAATCCTCAAAGTGCTGAAAAAAAAAAACTGTCAACCTAAAATTGAGTACTCAGAAAAACCATGTCAAGTATAAAATGTTAAACAAAAAAGTATCAAATTTTCAGCTAAGAATCAAGAACTTACTACCAGTAGTCTTGCCATAATATAAAGATTCAAGAATAGATTTTAGAAAAATAGCATAAAAAGGAAGATGTAAGATAAAGGAAGAACTGGTGAACCGGGACCTTGGTAAGCAGATAATTAGTTCATTGTACATTGCTGT